CCGCGGCGGCCCGGGTCTGGTTAAGTGGGATTTGTGGTGGACAAAGTGGCGCTAGGGTAGGTTTTCTCCGAGTACTTCGGTTTCCCCTGCCAATCTTCATTCCACCTATTGCTCCACAATCACCTTCACCTATCATCTGGGGCTGGTACAATAGGCCAGAAGTGGCCGCAGTACAAGGGACTTAGTCCCACCCCACTAGCAATAAAGAAAATACAGAACCGAGCCCTTCTGAAGGAGCTGCCCATTCTGCAGCTACTCAAGAATTTCCCAGCATTTTGTTATATCCGAGGGTTCAATACCGTGTTCACAAGAGCCCTCCACTAGTCCCTATCCTGAGCCATATCAATCTTATCTATACCATCCCATCCTATCTCTCTAAGATCTATTTTAATATTGTCCACCCGCCTACACCTTGGTCTTCCCAGTGGCCTCTTTCCATCTGGCTTTCACACCAATATCCTACAAGCATTCCTCGTTCCCCCATTTGTGCTACATGCCGTGCCCACCTCATCCTCTTTGACTTGATCATATAGTAACGGTGTCCTGAGCATAACTGCATAAGGAATTTAAAGAAAATCAGATGTCAAAATTCTTACCAAAACTTCTAGTTACAGAGATGAGGTGATAAACTATAGGCAAACCTCGTGAACAGTCATGAACATGGAACATCAATAAAAATTGTAAATTTCAGTCACCAGTTAAATAACTTCAAGCTTTCAAAGGGAAATCCTGTTCGACGGATGTGATTTGTCGCCTGGCTAACCAGTTAGCTGCATAGTTAGTTAGCCAAAGAATGAATTAACTGGTTACTTGCTTGATTACTTATACCGACGTTCGACCTAGAGGGATAAAGAGAAACGATGAATGAATAACTGGTAACTCAAATGATATTCAAACCCGGTTCTTCACGAACAAAAAACACTTGATTTATCTGGTCCGGTCAGAATATCTGGAAATATGAAGTGCAGACAGTAAAATAAATCGCCTGATAGGATTTCTTTCTGGACTTATCGCTTGCCGTTATGAAAGAAATTCCATCTTCATGAGCTGTGTTATAAACGGGTAGATGGAAAGGGGGGGGGGGACAGAATTCACTCAAATCAACAAGTTGAATCCATCCATTTCCTTTGTGTCTCGGGACTCACTCCTGCCACTCATCTCAGCTTCTTTTTATTATGTTGGCAATTCACCAATAAGAACACAGCAGCTCAGCACAATCGAGAGGTAAGGGAGGACAAAGAAGATTTCATGGCGCATCGGATCCAATTATTTGGAATATATAATGTCTGGCAACCAGGGAATGTCTTTTGGACCATTTGGGCCCCACGTAGTGTGACGTAATGGGATATACTGTTAAATTAAAATATATATTATATAATTGGCCTGCATACCAAAGAGATCATTAGAATCTTTGTTGTTTGCGTCCTGTTGTGTGTAATGCTGTGATTTTTGGGCCGTAAACTAAACAAATTCATCAAAAATTAAACCAATCCCTTCTTTACGTTGGTTTATTTATTCTCTGTTACATGTTTGGACCCATGTTTGGATCATCATCAGGCAGCATTCTTAAATACGTCACTCGTTACTGAATTTTCCTAATATGGATCCTTATTAGTGTTAATTATTAAAATATTCATGATGTCTACTCAAATCGTACATGTGAAAACGTTCAATTAAACATCTTTATATATACAATTTGAGTAGATGGAAGCTACAGATGAATGAAATGTTCACATAACCCCATATTTGAACTTACAAAAAATAAACCTATCATAATAATGCGCATTCAGAAAACCCTCTCCAACATCACATTCCCCCCCCTCCAGCATTATACAACCACCCTTTCCCCCAACCGGAACATCGCGTGACCAAAGCTACATACTCACTGCGACAGAAAGATTAGTCAGTCCACACAGAACCACGAACAGAGACAACTTAAGAACTAACATCATCACACAAAGAAGTGTACAATACACGCCAAATAGAAGTAACACAAAGTTTCGGAGACTGGATTCTGGAGACATAATTCAGTCTCCAAAACGCTGTTTTTAAATAAAAACCGGGCGATAAATAATGCACAGAAACATATATATATGTATTGTATTAATGTATATGTATTAATGTACTACCTTCACAGACTTCTAGATCTAACAAGAAATCAGTTTTATCTTATAGCATGTAGATACGTTGCTAAGTTATGACTCTATAATCAACGGCTGCTGTTAGGCAACGACCGCGAAATAAGCAAATATACGACAGCCGTTTCTGATTAACTGCTTCGCTAACAAACTTATTCCCACGGCAAAAACTGAATTACTCCAATGAGGAGCGGTATTTTCTATGCGGTCCGTGTCGGGGGTTATAAGCGGGACAAAGTTTATAGCTCAGTCTTTTCTGGGATATTCGCCAGCAGGTAAGGACTTTAGCAGAACACATTGTTAGGATTCGTTACCAGGAAACGGCTAGTAAAGTCATATAATACTTTATGTGTGCTGCAGTTACAGTGATCTTTAGAGTGTGTAAATTAGTGAGGTTATTACGGTTACTTGTAGCTACGAGTTATGTGTGTAAATGTTCAATAAATCCAACCACCAATCGAAATCCCGTCTGTAGACACTCATACACGTGGAAATATTTTTGTTAGAAATCTAAAGAAAATATCTGGGTGGTCTAGGTGTAGATTAAGGTACATCAAAGTGAAACTTTGGGAAATAGGCTGTGAAGTTACAAAAACTGATTCAGGGAATGGTACAATGTTTTTATCCCTCAACACAATATGCATATAGTAATCCCTTCAATCATATTACTCATCTCAAATTTCTCACGTATATATTTCATAACCGAGTGAGGGTTCCTGCAGGCATTCACAAATATATTTGTTCATAATTAGTTCCGTTCCAAACCTGCTTAGAATTCCACACAGATTTCCCCAGAGTTGCCAGTATACAACCACGTTAACACAGCTGTGAAGCTATTCTGCAGATTGCATGCATTATGGGACCAGAAGGGAATTCTGAGTAGGAGGAACCCTAATAATAAAAAAAACATGAAAATGCTTTTGTTAAAATTATACTTTTTATAAAATAATTATGTACGAACCGATTCTTATAGAAGAAAACAATTACATATATACCAGTGTGGGCAAACAGACACGAAAAATGTACTTTTGTGCCGTGATATCAGGGAGGTAACAGTCCAGAATACGTGTAGTCCGTCTTAGCCTCCTGTCGTTTTCCTCAAAAGGGGGGGGGGAATAAGCTTTTAAGAACATCGTTCTGTCTGTGCATGTGTAAGTATCTGTCGATTTGTGTGTTCACGTGTCCCTACTTGAACTCTTAGATCAGTAACTGATCTTCCCGAAATTTCGGGTGAGAATTGGGCCAAGAGAAGCCACCCAAACTCATGAGTTTCAATTTCCTATAACTGGTACTAGCAACATGGCGGGCACACGGATATGTGAGTTAGGAAAGACTCTATTGCTACTTAATCAAAATTCTGAAATTATATATGATAACAGAACTTCTAAATATATCCAGTTTCTTTGGATTAACATTTTTTGTATAATATAATATAACCATATATTATATTATATTTGAGCATCCTGTTACACTCGCACAATATATATAAGATAAACACCGTCTTAAGTGTAACAATTTAATTTAGTTCTTTCTTCTTTCCCCTCACTCCACACTACATGTTTCGGCCCTAAATGGCCATCATCAGGTGTGTATTTTTACGTAGCTGCTACACTGCCCGTAGTTTAAAATTTAAAATCACCAGTCTTTCCAATTGTATGTATGTANTATGTATAAAATCTTTGTTAACCTACACGCGTCAATTTGATTTCTAAAATTGGCACTATTTTAAAACTTCAATTCAAATTAAAATGTCTATAAATTTTCTGTTCTTTTTCTTTTTCCAAATGTTTAAAAATGAATTACAATTTTCTCGGGGTACACGCCCTATGTCAGAGAGAGCCCACACAGAGTAAGTACAAATAACAGTATAAACATATAAGAATAACATAACATAACATAAGATAGTAATACGAATATTTGTATATTACAGACAATACCTGAACAACGATAAACAAGAAGTGGCCGCTGCAGCACTTAAGACATAGGGCACGTACCCTGAGGAAAATTTTAATTTTAAAATTTGAAAAAGGAAAAGAACAGAAATTTTATAGATATTTTAACTTGAATTAAAGTTTTAAAAAAGTGCTAATTAGAAATCAAAATTAACGTGTGTAGGTTAACAAACATTTTATACAATTAGAAAGAATGGTGATTTTAAATTTTAACAAGCAGTGTAACAGCTACGTAAGAATACACACCTGATGATGGCCATTTAGGGCCGAAACATGTAGTGTGGAGTGAGGGGAAAGAAGAAAGAACTAAATTAAATTGTTACACTTAAGACGGTGTTTATCTTATATATATAACCATATATATTTGGGTTTCGTTTCGATTGCAATAACCAAACGACATTTGGAGGTGAACATGTAAAATTTAGTAACAACTTACGTCTTAATCATACCTTCGCATTAGTTACATATATGAAATTTTTATATGGCAACAATTAGAAATATAGCCTCATTGCGAAATTTTGAGGTTACGTTTGCAAAATTTTGAGTAGATATAATATGTATTTAATATTTCTTCCAGAAAAAGCAATAAAATATAATAATAATAATAATAATAATAATAATAATAATAACGTAGTAACATGTTTACAATTGCAAAACAATAAGAACTTTGCTCGACAAGTCTTCGACCCTATACACATCTACACATGAAACAGGCCAGAAGTCGGTCCTATAGGAAAATGGTCGTTATATACGCTAAAATGGCCATATCTACGTATGACAGTAGCAACAAAGAATTTGTAGACTAGAAGTTGTTCCTATAAGGAAACAATCAGCACATGCTTTACCCAGAATTTCTTGTTTTACATTGAATGTAATGTGACAATAATAAAAAATAAGGGATTTTTCTTACCTTGGGCGAAATTTCCGCATACAAGTATGGCCACATATGCTGCCACTGAAACAAAGAGAACACAGATATGAACTCACATTTAACTTTTTATATTCGAGTACAATAAATGCGAAGTACAATTCTTGGGCTTACTTCCTACTGTCCTGGAAGCAAAATGTCACCTTTCTTTGAGTTGCCTCTGTTTGCTAAGGTAAATTAATGTGCTTCTAAGCATCACATAATTAAGTACATGGTGAATGGAGGTGAAGTTCTACGCTCATATAATCTCACTCTTGAATCAGCCTCACTCGGTGAGCGGTCAGCTTGAAGCTGGAGCCCTTTGACCTTCGAAGGGACAATGGATAGTGGACTGGGCATCTCACGGAGTGAGTCCAGACGAAGAGGTAAAGAAAAATGCCTCTCCCTGCCGGGAATCGATCTCCCAGTCAGTAGATGCTGAAGCATCCGCCTCAGAAGATTATTCAATTAAGAAAATGTGATTTAAGCTGAACAACAGCCTACAATTATGTAGTACTATCATTACACACCTTTTTACAGCTAGTGTTATTGACCCGTGCACATTCTGTTCTCCTAATTTTCATTTTCTCCCTCCTTCTTTCTTTCCTTCCTTCCTTCCTTCCTTCTTTTCTTCACTTTTCTTTGTTCAGTTGTAGACAATTACAGAGTTCTACACGTACGTAACTTATTGAGCTTCACTTTTTCCCCACCTGTGAAAGAAGCGTTGGTGTTCAGACACTTTCTGTGAAACCCTCTACATAACAAAACTATTTAAGCACAAATTAGGAATTTAAACAAAATACTTTTCATCATGCCCGCGTTCCTCCTGCAGCTTCCACATCAAATGTTTCTGTTCACTAACAGTTTTTATAGTAGTTTTAATCTATGTTTCTAGAACCCTAGATATATCCATAATGATTTTCCTGCTTTGGACAGGTTTCTTGTTAAAAATATTATTGTGTATCTTTGTTTCTATTTTCTTCCTCACCTGATTTACATTAACATGTTGATTATGTAGCGGTTCACTTCAAACCGCCGAATTGACGTGCAAGATCTAACAAAACGCCTTCAACGAAATCAAATTACATGACTCTCTCTCTTTTTCATTAGGTCCATATTTCAACGATGCGTTTACCGCGTATGCCGGAAGCAACCGCCTGCGACAATAGACTGACCTCTGGAATACGGAAATGTATTCTTCGTGCTCCAGAAGGCAGAAACTTTAAAACTCTCTGTCAGACTGAAGGTTTATAATGATATCACGCTAACTAGTTTTCCAAGATGGATAATTTTAAGTGTGCAAATTCATGTCCAGGTCCGTTACGTATCCTTCCTGCCATCCTCTCACCTCAAAGGGATTCCAAATGAAGGTAAATTACAACGTCCTGTCCGGTTATCACACTCGTAAATTTTGGTGGAGGACAGGATTAACATAAATTATCGCGCCAACTTAAATCTGAACTGAAACCGTACACATTGACCTGAATTAAATTCCATTCTTTTCTGCCAATATTCAGTCTCCCATTGCGACTCCTGTTTCTAACAGACCTTTACAGACAGTTTTTCTGAAATTTCATTTGTGCTTAGTCTCAAGGTGGAATATACGTGCCCTATAAGTGTACCATAGAAATAAACGTAATAGTAAAGTACTTTTCAGCACAATATGACTGTTGAAAAGCTGTGAATGTGGAGCACACTTTCTGTCGGACAAATTCTATCCAAAAACTAAGTGGGAAGTTCACTTCCCACTAGTTAAAGCTGTAAAGCTCTCCCTATTACAGGCTGTGAAAGCCCGTAGGGGTGTGAGAGGTCGAGGCTCCCACACCTTCTAAACAGTCTGGTCATAGATGGCGGTAAGGTTATCAGACTTACGCGCTTTCCGCCCTTTACCCCTCAAGGAAGAATCGTGGTACTGATTTCTGTTAGAAGCTGAGCCAACCCCAGGGCCATAGTGAGGCTGGAAAGATTATGTCAATTGAAAAATCCACCTCATCTGGACTCAAACCCGCGATCTTCCCGTTTGTAGTATAATGCCTCAATCAACTATGCTACGGCGTGTCCCACCCCACTAGCTAAAGGAAACCTAAATAATCACTTAATTCAAAAGCGTAAGAGTAACAATTTGTGTTACACACGTACGAAGGACTGAAGAAACTGGACAAAATACAGTAACTTTATGATTTCTATTCTTCTTACAGTAGTGTTACGATTATTAGACCAAGACGTATCGCTATTATGCATACACCATGAAAAAGGGGAATAAAAATTCTTATACAATTTTGGGCGAAAATCTCACGAGATGAGACCATATAAGAAATCTGTATGTAAGAGTGAGATTGATATTAAATTTCATCCAATGGATACCAGATGTCACTGTGTGGAATATATTCAACATACTCGGAATATTAATATTATCATTATTCTTATTATTATATTTAAACTGAAATGGGTTTTCACACGAAGGCAGTGATAGTACAATAAGACACAACAGATAAATAACACACATCACACAAAATAACAAACCGCACTGAAACAAAACACACAAGCAATATAGGACACACTACACAAAATGAATACAATACACATGCGATTTACAACTACAATTAAATAAATTAATATTACTAAAAAATAAGCATGCTATACACTAAACAGTAACAGTAATGGAATACATGCCATGAACTGATGCACTCACATTTCAGCATGGCCGTCCCTTCATTCTACTTCACTACATTTACGCACTCTTCACATCTTCACCACAATTCATTTCATTTCACTATATTTTTGGATTATTTCTCCCACACCCTCACTTCGCCTTAAATCCAATAGTTTGGGCCAGAATTCTGATATGAAATACGTGGTATTACTTCGGAACAGAATCACTTACGGATTTTTGCCCCACGAAATTACTTATTATAACTGCCTGTGGAAAGAACCCATAATTATTGGAAACGGGCCCGGAAAAGCAACTAGCTACGGGTTGGACGCCCGACGATCCCGCTCGCTAACCGACAAACATGAAATTCTTCTATTTGTCACAGCATACGGTCTTATACACAACAAACATCAAGGGCCCTAGTCTTCGGAATAAAACAGCAAGAGCACAAAGCTGGTCGTCTCCTAGCAAATGACGTCAGCATATGAATTATCACTTCAAATCACTATGCAGTCTTCTTGTCATTTCTTTTCAGTCACCCTGGAACGTCGGAACTCAACTACAAACTCTTCTGGACTCTTAACTACACTGCGCTGCACTCTGCACAGGTTTTCGTTATATATGTTCCGCACGGACAACACAGAAAACACAAGTCACGTGATTCCTGGCCAACGAGAATTGGCGCGCTGACTGTTGCCTAAAACGGGTTTAAACATTCCACCACTGAGACACATCTTCCAATGTCGCACGGCGGAACGTGTTTACGGAACCGTTGCCTAAGAAAGCTTTGAGCAAGTCCGTTGCAATATTAAGACACCTACCTGTTGGCCGCATTATAAAACATATTTTTCTCCAGTATACAAATAAAAATGCCAGCCCTGTGATTATCAAATCTATTCAGCATAAACAGAAAAATAAGATTTGAACCCATAAAGTTCAAAGCACTCATGTTGTGTCTATACAAAAGGAAATAACTGAAGCTATGTAGTTTTAATGTTTTTAGCAGAAGGTATTACTTGTTGTCATTATTACATCACGAGTGGCAGTGGATGATATTTCGTTGTTTTGTTTCAAAGGGCGGACGGAGTTGTAAACACTTTGAGCAGCAGTACAGACAGAAGTCCATACTGACCAATGAGAAATACTGCCGACATAAACTGAGAAGGAAAGAGGAAAAAGTTACCTCTGAACATAAAAACAAGCTCACTAAGCTTATTACAACTGCAGGAAATAATTAAATAACTCTGAATTACTCTACAACAGAACAAATGAAAAAATAATTTCTAAGAGAAAATATACGTATTTTAACTGCATGTGTAACAGTTAACTCACTTTCATCAAGAAGGCTTATCTCGTTACATCCATATACGGGGATACGTATTTATCATCCCTTACTCAGAGTCCTCGCCCTATTTCTTGCAGTTTAAAAATGGGGATTACTTAGTACCAGTGAAGCACAGAGACGACAAGCTTACACTGCTAGGGGAATAAGCGTTGAATTATTCGTATAAAAGTTAAATTTGAAAAGCACTGTTTGATAAATTTTACAGCAATGTTGTATTTAACAACGTACCGCATTATGCAATATATATATATATATATATAAAGTCTTCGAAGCCATTTTTTGTTGGTTGAATCACCACTTAAGTCATGCTTTCATGTAAATCCAACGACATGTTTCGACCACACAGGGCCACCATCAGGTATATGTGACGATTGGCCTAAATTGCTGTACTGTACCTACCTACCTACCACTCGGCTCTACAGCCCTGAGTGAGCCTTGTCCTCCTCAACAACCAGTCTCCACTGCTCTCTATTCCTCTTCTTCTCTATCCATTCTATCACCTTCATCTTCTTCAGGTTGTTCTCAACATTGTCTATCCATCTCATCCTGGGTCTTCCCTCCCTTCTTTTGGAATATTTCTTAGGCTACTCCCTGCATCTTTCCGGGTTGCAGCATTGTGCGTACATTCCAAGTTGCCATCGCAATACTGTTGTTCCTTGTCCTTCGCTTCAGTTGCTGCATTGTATTATAACCTTAGTATTTGTATATAGCCCGTGAGGACTGCGCATCCGAGAAGTTTATTATTTAAACCAGTATGGTGTCCGTTAAAGTTTATTAAACAGAACGATTTTAGAGATCTATCAGGAAATTAGATTAATTTCAGAATAGTCTATTTCTTCCTCTTCCTGTAGATTTTGTAGCCGCTGGGAAGTTCAAGCAGTCTACATAAACATATATAGATGATGGACAGAGAGTGTGAGTCACGTGATGGGAAAACCTGACCTGTATATCTACTTCGTACTTAATCGAAATTATCTGTGGGTTATTTTACTTTACTGTCAACAGCTAACACTATGTAGCATCTGATGGCATTATGATAGACCATTGATG